TCCCTAAAAAATTAAAAAATTATCCCTAAACAATTCACAAGATCACATTTTAGGATTTCTCAGTGTTTCACCCTAGTTTTAATAGCATAATTTAAGAGAGTATCCAAATTTATAATTTTATTTCAAAAATATAAAATTAATTTTTGGAATAATTAGATTGCGACACATATTAATGAAAATTAATAAAAATCAAAAAATGAGAAAAAAAAGGATTTGAACTTTCAATGGTAATAAACTCACATAGGTTTATTCTTTAAGCATGAGCAGTTGACAAGATAACGAGAAAGTGACTCTAACCAACAAAACAACTTTGAAAAGCTAAAAAGAATTGAAGTATATGATTTTAAATTTTAGCTAAAAAGTAGTCGACGTGAGGCTTATGCTTAATAAAATAAATTTCTGCATCCTTTTTCCAAAGTATATTGGTGCTAAGAGAATCCATGAATTATTATCTTCCCTCTAAGCATGGAGGCTTTCCTAGCAACCATGAAAGATTAGTGTGAAACTTTAGAATTGAGTAGTGGGTAGGTAGTGTGAGAAAGGAAAAATTTTGAATTTTTCTTCCCTTGTTTGTTTGCATGATAAATTTGTCATGATAATGTTGGAAAATGTAAGATTGTTAAATTTTGTGTACAATCCATAGCAACATGGTAAGTTGCTTTTCAATTTCTCGCAAAATATACATAAATGTTTCTTGCAAAAACCAAAGAATGTTTTTTTTCACTATTTTGTCACTTTTGATTTTCTATCTAAACATGCATCTTTTTACACTTGGTTAATTTTGACCTAACGAACTGTACTTTGTTTTTCGAGTAACATTCTTATGATAAGAGATGTGCATAGTAGCATTTCCTTTATATATGTATATTATATACTTATAAAATTTATCTTATAAATGCTATATTTTTTGGGACAAGTATCTTAGATGATTGGTTTTAGTTGGATTGTTTATATACATATGCCTAAGAGGAGGGACAAATATCATCAGGATAGTGTAATTTAGTAATTTCAATTTGGGGACCTACATCCCAAGGACATTAGGGCTGCAATTAATAAATCAATAAGAATTTTTTTTATAATTACAACTAAAATGAGAAGGTGAAAAGTAAATATAAAGAGGTGGCAATCCCCTATTTTCTTTACCAAAATATCCTTTTCTTCGTCCTTTTTCCTTCCCTTTGCTTTGGAAATCTTGTCACTGAGTCCCATACAACCAATTTCCTCCCTCCTTGACCAACCCCAACACCTTGCCTACTACCACCAACCCCAACACCTTGCCTGCCACCACCAACCCCTCACCCACCTGTCCCGTCCCTCCTCGACCACTTGAAACCCTTCCCCACCCATTTCCATCACTTCCTCACGCTACTCTCGTCTACCTCTTCTACACAAGCCCTTTCCAACCCCACCCAACCTAACACCCTAATCAACCCAAACCCAAGCCATCGGAACCCCACCAAACTCCTCCAGTCCCACCCCATCTCTACTCTGCACCATCTCTCTCTTAACTATTGTTAAAAGATACAAGTCCAAACTATGCAAGGTGGTGATGATCTACTCCCAATGTTTTGGCCTGATAACTACATGATATGTATGGAGTGGAAGAATCATGAAGAAATATGTATCAAACTTTTAAAAACAAAGAATAAAAGAGAGAATATTTGTGTCATGTATTTCTATAAATTATTAAATGGTTGAACCAACAAGTAAAACAATAAATAATGTGAGCTTTGCCAACATTGATTATTTGGTATATAAATGTTTTGACTTGGGCATAAAAATCCATACAAAAATTGCTTGCGACTTAGAGCTTATGTGTCCCACTTTGACGTAAGTTTCCACACTAATGGCTGAGTTGTATCCATTCACGTTTTGAAAAATCCATGAGAAAAAAGAATCCGTTTCAATATGCTATCCCTTAAGGGTTGCATATAATATTCTCCCTAACTATTGGCTCTTTTTATTTATTTATTTTAATTGCTCGAAGGGTTGGTTTTGGTACGTTAGTCTAAGTCTTTACGTAATGGCTATTGATAGTTCAAACAAATGTATTAAAAGTTTCATCTCTTGCATTGTTTATGTGGTTTGTTAATGTGAAAGCATATGTGCAAAATGATATTTGTTTGCTTTTAATTGATAGCATGGCACTGGCGGGTGTGCTAATTTATTTATTTGCTTATAATTGATAGTAGGATACTGGCAGATGTTATAATTTATTTGTTTTCTTTTAGTTGATAATAGGGCATTACCAGGTGTGATACTTTTTTCTGTTTGCAAATTATGATAGTTAAGGATTGGAGATGCTCTAAAGTGTACTATTATTGTTAGTCATACTCTGTTGAGGTGTGAATTTATTGGGTTTTATGCCATGCTTGGGACTTTTATACCATGTTGTGAGTCCCAAACATGGTGTAAAATTCTATAAAATTAAATCTCACAACTAGAATTAACATATCAAAAAATATATATTTAGAATTAAATTACAAAAAAAATTACTTTTGTGAAAATAATAAGGATATCAAGTGAATGAGGATATCGCAGGTATGCTCTATTGTCTTGATGTGCATATTTTTATATAATTTTATGTTATTAAATTTTGTCTATGTAGACTTAATGAAAATTTTACACTTCTTGATGATGTGATTGAAGATGTGGTCATAATGCGGTTTAAAGTGTAGTCTTGCATGTGTGTTTTTTAGTTATTTGAATGAAGTGTGTTCTTTGATCTAGTTTATACCCATTGGAAAAAAAATAAAATAAAATAAGAAAATTCTAGCGTTGCCACTAATTATACACTGTTTTGAAATGTGAAACACATGGGTGGCAATTACACTCTATTTTCAAGTGTGTCTGGTTATTAGGCATTACATTTTTAATTTGGGTTTTGAAATATAAGTAGTTTCATTCATATGCAATTTGTAATATTCTTAACTGTTAGTTGCCATTTGTAAGAAGCTGCATTGGTTGCATTGTCATTGATTACCGTGATACAGGGAGGACATGATAATGTTCATATAGGTGTCAATCAGAGTAAAATTGAAAATATCTATTTGGATTTGGTCCTTGTGGCTGCATTGTCATGGCTTGAACTAACACCAGTGTGGTTTGAACTCCATATTTTGTAAGGCTACCATCCTCTTTGTTTGTTTGCTTTTTTGTTTATATGCTTGAACTGAAACGTTTGGTCTTGCTCCATTGAAGAAAAATATTGTAAGAGGGATTCCAGGTTCTACAACATTCCAAGGCATCTTGCTTTATCATTTTTTGTTATAAAGAATATAGCATAGCATTATAGAAGATTTGATTAAGAACGATAGGCTGTTGGACTGACTCAAGTAACTTCTCCATTAGCTTGTTCAGAAGGGCTTTAATGAAATGTAATAATTCTTTGGTTTAATTAATTGTTTAACTGTTGAAACTGGTCTATATTTTTTTCCTTAAATTCCTTAAATTGGATTGATCAATGGAATGTTAAAATTGTTCTTTCTTCCTCCTTTATTTTATTTTACGTGACAATGGGATCTAGACCTTCCAATATCAATTGAAGCTTGTTGATTATGGCTTGCCCTATGAAAGTGTTCCATGGGAGCTAATTTTAATTTATTTATTTTTTAGTGGGTGGCTTTCTAAGCTTATATTTGCCTTAATATTTGTGTGGGTGCTTTAAGTTTTCCATTGTCCCATGTCTCCATGTTGATGCTAGAGATAAGAATGTCGCAGTACCCTTGACATAAACAAACACACACCATCCCCATTATTTTTGTTGCTTTCTCTTGTTGAACCCATCATAAACACCACTACCCAAATTGGAAATAACAACAGTCAGCACCCTTTACTATTTTGAGTAGATTTTAAATTTTCCAAAGTGTTATCCCAAGGAACGGAGTGGCCACATAATTACATATAGAATATTGACTCTATATAAAATATATGATCATATGAGATAGGGAGATTTTGGTTTTGATTTTTATTTAAGTGCTAATTATTGGTGGAATTTTATGGCTAGTGTTGTGGTTTTGTGTTTTTATCAACTTGTAGCATTTGTAAATTTTCGGCGATTGATAGAATATTTTGATGTACTTCAAGAATGATATGTTTTTTTTCTTAAACTAGCATTGATTTTTCTAATTTCACCATCTTTGTCTTTTTTTGGAACTGTTCCTAAATTTTGTGTTTCAAGTTTATTTTCTAGAAATTCAAACCTCAACTTCATCGTTATGTTTCCAATGTTTTTGGTTGATGCTTATTTTTATGATTTTGCAAACGGATAGTCTATTATGGTTTTGTTTTTGTTCAAGTGTTCTATGGTTATTCTACCTTGCACGTGTGCACACATACTGGCAAGGCGGGTAAGTACAAGGTTAGGTGGGTTTCTGATTCGAGACTTCTCTCTTATTGCCAAAGTAATCTTGCCTTTTGCGAAGTCAAGTGACTATTAATGGGAAGAAGAAAAAAAAGAAAAAAAAAAAGAGCTCCTAAGATTCAACGAGGAAAGTTGACTCAGGCAATTATGTTTATTCACTAAAAGAATTACCTTGGAAACAAGCAGCCTAATTGAAATTGAAAGTAAAAAAACATATTTTATAAACTATTACTCAAATTGAATTTTTTTGATCTGTCCTTGGACAATTCCAATTCCAATTCCATTTCAAGATTGTATAATATAACTTTTTGTAGAAGATCAATATATGTATGCATTACTTCTAGAGGCTTTAGTGTCACGCCCCACTTTTTATTACTCGGAGTCATTACCAAATTCTTTATCTTAATTCAATTTCAGAGATAACATGCGGAAATAAACTCATACATTCAATCCGTAGAAGTGATTAACAATACTCTCATTCGTATGCAAGTAAATATTACATGAACTAACTTAATAAATTGCCCTTGGGCTTACATCATTAAAAGTACAAGAAGAAGGGTGTAACCCTTTACAACAATGGCATTCCGCCAACATAACTGAGGCCCCGTGGCCAACAAATAAGAAGATCCAAAAGTTCGTAAAATATACAAAGCAAGGATGTCTCTCATTGTTATTTACACATAAAATGAGTTTGTCTCTACTGGCTTTGACAAAGAGTTTGCAAGAGGGGAGTTGTTGTATTGTGCAAGGCTTGAAACTTGCATACCATATGCAAGTTAATTTTCAGCCATTGGATTTGATTGAATTAATCTAAACCCTTCAATATTTTATATAGTTTATACCATTTACTTGCTAAACTGGTTGAAACTTTCCCAGCCATTCTCTCTACTTCATCAGTCACGTTTCTCTCTCTCTGTGGTTTGGCTAAACAGGACTCCCTTCTCTCTCTTTTCCAGTCGTTCCACGAATGGAGATCGAAGTCGCAGGCTATGCAATGATTTGAAGAGGTATTCACCCAAAAAAAGGATTGAAGAGGTATGACTATAATAACCCTAAAATTTTCTCCCCCTTGTTACTAATTTATGGTTTCTCCCTCTCTTTCTCTAATTTCTCAATCCGTGCTCTTGCTCTTTATCATCTCTCACTCTCGTCTCTTGCTTTCGAAGGCTTCTTGAAGATCTCTATCTTCTCCAGTAGCTTATTTGTTTGAAAGAGTTCTCATTGAAGAGGTATGGCTTGAAATCCTTGGTTATTTAGTGGTGATTCTCCCCCCTTTGTTCAATCTATTATTTTTATAGGTTAAAAATGGGTGGAAGCGTCAGCACTTGTCCAAAGGTGGGCGGCTCACTTTGATCAATAGTGTCCTATCCAGTATGGGATGGTTAGAGGGGGGTGGTGTTCAAATCGGGTCAGTCAATCACATGGTTGTAGTTTGTGGAAGGGGATTTGGTTGGGTAGGAAGACCTTTTGGGATAGGGTTCGATTTAAAGTGGCGATGGGGGATCAGGTTCGCTTCTGGGAAGATAGGTGGTGTGGCGAGTTGTCTTTGGCGGCTATGTTTCCACTGATTTTTGCTATTGCCGCTGATGTGGAGGAGTTGGTTGCTTTGGTTCGGGTGTTGCAAGGGCAATCATACACGTGGAATCTTCATCTACGTCGTAATGTGCAAGATTGAGAGTTGGACCAATTGGTGGGTTTGTTGGGTTTTTTGTATGAGTTGCAGTTTGGAGGGGATGGGGAGGATACTTTATCATGGGAAGGTCTGAGGGCTAAAGGGATTTTTTTGGTGTCGTCGTTTTATGGGATGCTTGAAGGGGGAGGAGTTGGGGTGTTCCCTTGGTAGAACATTTGGGCGGTGGGATCACCGTCCAAGGTTGCTTTCTTTGTTTAGACAGCTCTTTTGGGTCGCATTCTGACTATTGATAACTTAATTCAGCGGCAGCATGTGTTGGTTAATTGGTGTTTTATGTGTTGCAGGGATACGGAAATCGTCAATCATTTGTTTATCCATTGCTTGGTTGCGTTTCGGCTTTGGAATTTGATTATTGCTTTATTTGGTTTGGTTTGGGTGCAGCCGGGGTTTGTGTTGAGTGTTCTACAAAGTTGGAGTGGGGCTAGGATGGGCAAGAGGCTTCAGAAGGCTTGGGTACTTGCTTCTCATTGTTTGTTTTGGTTGATCTGGTTGGAGTGCAATAGGCGGGTTTTTCAAGATTTGAGTCATTCGGCTCTTTGGTTAGAAAGTAGGTTACTTTTGGTTTTGTATAGTTGGGTAAAGGGTTTGGTGGATCATGATGTTTTGACTTTTGTTGATTTTGTGGAAGATTTGAATAGTTAGTTTTGCGCCCATGGGGTGTTGGTTTCCTTTTTGTATTATTTGCATCGTCTTGATGCTTTCTTAGTAAAGTTTGTTTATTTATCAAAAAAAAAAAAATGTCACTCAAGTCATTATTGTTGTACGTTGTGTAGATTGGAAGTTGCTTATATGAAAAATAAATATGTGGAATATTTGAACTAAAAGAAAAATGTGCATAATGAAAAACTTCTTGCAAAGTGTTGGAATCCCATATTGTCAAAACCAAAATTAATCTCTAATTGTCTTTTTATATTTACAAATACTATAAATTGCAGGTTTTTTTTTTTGGGTCTGTTGCTATCTTATTTTTAAAAAAATAAAAATCCTCATTGAAATTGCTGATGCTTTTGTTGTCCCATTTTTCTTATATGTGTGCTTATTTTTTTAATATTGTTCAGTTATTAAGGGAAAACATTTGTGCTAATTTTTTGTGAAGTATTTTAGAACAAGTAGTAAAACTATGAGGAAACCATGTGAAAAACTATGTGTATGGTGGCGAGTGGTGATACTTGACTAATCAAAATACTGAACGTGATTTCAAAATACCGAACATTAATATTTTTTCTCTTTGAAGTAAGACTTTATTTTAATTTTAATTTTTCATTTTTGTTTCAGGTATCAATATTGGCAACAGTTGATGGCTATTGGATGACTTTCAAATTCTTTTAATTTGGCCCCTTTTTAGGGCAATAGTTTTGATTCTAAATTTGTCTTTAATTTATGTAATTAATGACTTTTGCATTCATTTCACAAATCACAAGTGTCGTGAATGATTTTTGGGTAGTGTTTGGGTGTGCAACCCAAAGGGAGTTGGACACCATATGCACCTTAATTCTAAACCATTAGATTACTTAAATTTAATCTTAATAATGGCGAAAAATAGGCAACCGGGTTAGCCGGTTAACCTTTAGCTCTCTCCTTTACTCTTAGCCTCACTCTTTTGTTTCTCACTCTATTGCTCTCACTCCAATGGCGAAGGAGCTACTCAGGGACCACCGCAGCCATTAATAGCAGGCTCGAAGCTTTCAGTTTCAAGAACATCGGTCCGCTCAGATTCGTATGATCGAAGAGAGTCTCCGATTTGCCAGTGTTCCTGGTGCGTTCTAATTTCTTTTATCTTTTTTTCTATCTGAATATATTTTGATGATCTGATTTGATTTCATTTAAATAAACAAGACATTCTTATATTTTCAATTGTTTTGTTTAATCCACGATGGAATGCGAAGGTGATTACATCTGTGGCTGGGGGATTTTGCTGCATTCGTTCTTGGTGCAAAATCCCTTGGACTTTGCCTGTCGAAGCCCTAGGTCACCGCTCTCTCTCTCTCTCTGTATTTCCTAAAATCTAGTATATATTTTGGTCCATTTTGTGAGCCTTGTTCTGGTTATGCTTGTGTTAATATATAAATCTGCATATTCTTTTGCTCATATTCTCTCTCATTGCATTATGTGAACTTTAGTTGTTGATTTTTGCTCCTTTAAAGTTCATTGTTTGTGGGGGTGAAGCCCATATCACCTATTTATTATAATTTTCACTAACCCTTCATTTTGGCTGCTTGGAAAACCTAATACGAAGAAAAGAACATATCCAAGTTTCCATACTTTCGTTTACTGAGTTGTAATATGCTTACTTGTGCAAATTTTATTTTATTGTTTTTTTGTTAAATTTTTCATATTCTAAACTTGAACTTTTGTGCTTTTCTCATATTTTCTCTGCAATCTAACACAACATATATATATATATATATATATATTTAACTGTTTACTTGGGAATTAAGCAATTTTATGATGTTAGAGAAGATGTTTATGTGGCTACTCACTCTGCTATTGGACTATTATTAATTAAACCTGTTAATGTCTACTTAAGTACTCAAGGAAAACATGAAGTTCTCCATAATTTCTATTTAAGACCAATGAGATTTATATTTGTCTAGAAATTATATTTTGTAATAATGATATCCTTTGCTCCTTTCTTTCTTGGACTTTTTTTTTCCTCCCTTTTCCACAATTGTCACATGGATGCTCCAAATATACAATTATAGTTAGGAAAATCAACACCACTTATTAATAGCTCTTTATTTGTAATTTTCATTGATGAGATTATTTGGTTTCCTCTGCCTATCAATTTCGAGTCAACTTTTAGAGCAATAAAGAAGTTTTGATTGCTTTCTTGTAATGAAATAATTTGTGAATATGTTCATATATTGGCATGTATACATTTGTTGTATTTCGGAACCATATTTTTGCTTCAATCTTTTTGAACAAGAAATATATAAACTACAGCTTAATTTTTCCTTTTCTTTTTTCTTCTAATTTTTTATGCACAATGAAATAGCTACATTTTTTTTCTTCTCTTGAGAAGATAGTGAACTTCAATGCACACGCGTGCACACACGAACAAATGGACAAAAATTGAAGCCATGAGGATATGAACTAAGGTAAAGATAAAAACTTTCACCATAAGCTTTTTTTCTATAATAATTATGTCGATTGAGGGTTGTGATTTTTTTTCTTGATTTCAAATTTGTGTTGTAATGTGTTAATGTGACTTTCTTAAAAGATAATAATTTAGTTATATTTAGTTGTATTAGTCTTGGGGTGGGTTATATTACCAATTGATTGGTGTTAAAAGAGTGGAAATCTTGACTAGCCAACAAAGTTGATTTTTATCGTAGGAAAGTTGGCCCTTGTTGTTGTTTCAATGGGTTTCCAATGAAAGAACTTGAAATATGGGCTTCATGACAAAAAATCGAATAAAGCATTTGAAGTGCTCGATAGGCTTGAAGGAGGCCAATAACTATTGGTGGGTTGAAAAAAGTGGAGTTGGCTTAGGGATCTATTTTGGATAATTAATATATGGAAATTGTGACTCTAAATAATTTTTTTTTTTTTTGCTGCTTCTGCAATGTTTGATTTGAGTGCAACATATTCTCAAGAAAATATAAACAACAAATAGTAAGTAGATTTTGATGATCAACATTATGAAAGAAACCTGCACTGCGTACTTAGATGGTTCTTATAAAACAAAAGTGAGATTCTAAGTAACATTCCTGAATTGTGGCATATACTATGAACAGAACCTTAAATTAGCAGCCACTTACCAGTTTGAAACCAAAACAGAACACCAATTATGTGACTCATGCGAAAACCAAATTTGAAGAATTCGCAGATAGGCACATGTATGTGAAGATGTGTTTTGTCTTTTTGTTTTGTAGTGCATTTGTGTATAGTGGCCTTTTTTTTATTAAAGGTACTAGCATGGCCTTTCTCCTGGAGCACTCTTCGAATAATAGGCATGATGACTCTTGTCAAATGGTTTTGATTTATGCGAAATGGTTTTGAAATGGATTTCTATGAAATGAAATGGGTCTCTTTCTATTGAATGATTCTATGAATTTCTTTGTCCAACTATATAGATGGGTTTATATGAAATGGGTTTGATGGGTTTCCAATAAAATGAAGAGGTGTGAACGAGGGATGTCTATTACAAATAAATTTTCTAAGGAAGTAGTGGTTGTTGAATGATAGATTTGTGTCTATTTCAGAGTCAAGGTTTTGGGAATTGATTCATTTAGATCACAACTTTCAGTTAAGGTTAGGACTCGCCTTTTGCATCAAAATTGAAATTTAGCAGAAGGTAGAATGTTGGAGGTTTTAGAATACTTGATTATCTTACTAATTTTATGAAAGCATAAAGTGATGTGTTTTTGGAAATAGACTTGTGCACTTGTGGTATGTGTTTTAAAAATGGTAGACTTAGCAGGAAAACATGGCAATTTTTTCGGAGTTCTTCCATCCTTTTGAGTCTTCTTATAGGTTTTGCTATTCCCTTTGTATTATGTTAGATAGTGCCTAGATTGGTTTATAATGGTGCTTTATGGATTAAAGGGAAAACAATTTGTGCAATTGCACACTTAACACGCCAAAAAAAAAAAGAAAGAGAAGTTTTTGGTTAGGCACTCTAGTTCTCTGGATTATTAGAATTTTGAACAAGGGTTAGTGAAACTACGAATTAGTTCTTGGTCAAGCACTATAGGGTTTTTGCCAAAATTGGTAAAAATTTTATACTATTTTTGTCGATAGGGTTAACATTAATTGATTAATGTAATATCTAGGAACCATAATTTTACTTGCAGGGTTTTTGCTAAACTGGTAACAATTTTATATGTAGTTTCATTCATATAAAATTTGTAAATGTCCTTAGTTGTTAGTTGCCATTTGTAGAAAGCTGCATTGGTTGCATTGTCATTGATTATTGTGATACAGGGAGGACATGATAATGTTCATATAGGTGTCAATCATAGTAAAATTGAAAATTTCTACTCTCCAAAAAACTGTTTGAATTTGGTCCTCGTGGTTGCATTGTCATTGCTTGAACTAACACGTTAGTGGTTTGAACTCCATTTTTTGCAAGGCTACCATCCTCTTAGTTTGTTTGTTTTTATTTTTATTTTTATTTTTATTTTTATATGCTTGAACTGAAAGGTTTGGTCTTACTTCAGAAAATGTTGTAAAAGGTGTTCCAAGTCTAGAACATTGTGAAGCATCTTGCTTTATCATTTTTCGTTATCAAGAATATAGCATTGCATTATAGAAGATTTGATTAAGAACAATAGGTTGTTGGACTGACCTGAGTAACTTCTCAGTTAGCCTGTTCAGAAGGGCTTTAATGAAATGTAATAATTCTTTGGTTTAATTAATTGTTTAACTGTTGAAACTAGTCTGTGTTTTTTCCCTTTAATTGGATTGATCAATGGAATGTTAAAATTGTTCTTTCTTCCTCTTAATTGCATTTTGCTTCTTATTTTATTTTACGTGACGTGGGATCCCTAGACCTTCAATATTCATATACGTAAGCATCACCCATTGCTTCTACAGTATATAAAGGATATAGCCTTGCCTAACAGTTAGTAAAAGGTTGAGAGTAGATGTCAAAAATGAGAAAATATGTAAATGTGTAGCACATTCAATTTGTAAGGAGAAAATGCATAACATCTTTGTCATATATTTTTGTTGGATATGTCGTTTGTATTTTGAGCAACTGGTGGTTGTTATTTGCTGTAAACCTCTTGATTTGTGATGTGCAAATCCATGAGTCTTCTTTGTGGTAATTGAGGCTTCTTTGTAGCATTGATTTGGATTAGGTGAAGTCTTCTTTTGTAGCATTGATTTGGATTAAGTGAAAGGGACTAAAGTGAGATTTTAGTGACAGTGTAATGACTAAAATGATATTTTGATAAAAATACAGGGATGTTAATGAGACCAAAAAAAATAAATAAAGAGAGAGCCACGTTTGGCTCATAACACGAGTTTGGTAGATTGATAGAAAGATGACACTCTACAACTTTACTTAAAGTGTAGAAGGTTAACTGTATAATTGAAAGTGAATAAATTAAAATGTGATTATGATAAATCACGTGGTGCATAAAAATCCGGGCGAGATAATCAATGTTTTTCATTTTGTATTTTATTGCTAATGCATATTCAATTATTGGAATCCGCGGACAAGCAGTATCATGATCCACGAGTTCACACATTTTAACTACCCCCTCCTCTCAAATAAAGAAAATAAGAGAAATGCTACAATGTGTCTAAAAAAGATCAGAGATAGATTAGGCCCTTTTTTAAATTATAAAACTTTACATTAGTTTCATAATCAATTAGAATTGGCAGCTGTTTCACAGTTTGGTGATCACTTCATATCCAGAAATGATTTATTAATGCAGAAGTGAGATTATTACACCATGCCATAGCTGTGGTTGCGATGAGAGATAGATCGTGAAGGTGTTTGGTGGTGGTGATTGTTTGGTAATATCTCGTTGTCTCTTATCATGGGGGAAGCAAAAAAAAAAAAAAAAAAAATTGGTGTTGTGACTAATATGCATCCCTTTACATTGAATTTCTAACTCAGTTACTAATTATTTTGCTATTATTCACCGAAAATTAAGGTAGGTGGACTTGGAATAATGCCTAAATGAAAGGCTAAGTGGAAAGTCATTATGGTCCAGTTATACCCAAAAAATTATGAAAAATTATGTTTCAGTTAGACAATGAAAACAATAATTTTATTTTTTATGATGGGTCTGGTAATCTTTTGTATGGTATAAGTTTTTTTTTATATTTTTATGGTTTAGTGAAATCTTTTTTGTATGCAAACTTGTATAAAAAAAATTTTCGCCCATAATATAATTATTTAAAATTGTCCCACTTATTTATAATTTTCCCAATAAATTAAGGGGAAGCACATAACAATGATTGTTTAAGTCTAAAGCTTTTGATAAGCCACAAATGAAACATGTAACTCGTGGGCGGTATGTTTTATTATATATATATATTTTATTTATTTATTGTATAATAGCATAAATAATGTCACTCATGTTGTCAAGTATTTTATCCTTATTTTTTTCTTCTTTAATTTTTGTGTGCTTGTGACCTCTAATTTGTTAGCCAAACCAATACTATATAACATTTTTATTTTTAATTGTCTAATGTGTATCATGAAGTTGTTGAAGGTAAGATGACGTGGCAGTAATTCATTGGATGCCTAAAATAAATTCATGTGAAAATGTGACCAATTAGAGTATCTTTAATGGTGAATAATTATTGTTAGATTTTAGCAACGAAAAAATGATAAAATGATATTGTTAGCACCATAAATCTGTAATTTTATTATTATTTATTTTTCATATAATTGTAGGGTACGTGGCATCCTCTTTATTCATTTGGAAGTTAAAAGAAGTTATGGAGATGATGGAGAATATGAAGGACAAATGGATGAGTGGAAGGACCATGGCAAGACAGAATGAAGATGGAAGAAATTGGTAGTTACTAAGTAGTTTTGTTGTATTTTTTCCTCTATAAATAGTCATTAAATAGCTACATTGTAAAGATCTAGAATTCAAATCAAAGACCATTGTTTTCATATTTCTTATTATTTTTCTTATCTTAGGAGTAGTTTAACCATAGATTTATACTTCGAAGTATTAATTTTCAGCACTTTCTTTTCGGAAACATTTTATGATACTTCCTTTTCGAAGCATAGGAGCTACAGATAAGTAATAATCTACTTTGATTGTTCACTCAATCGTCTTTTTCCGTCTCCCTCATTCTCTTTTAATTTTTCTTTTCTCTACGCTTGCGCAATTTTGAAGTCCTCTTTGTTGAGGCAAAAGAACCGTCAACGCAATCCGCTTGATAACATGGCTTGAATTTAATCTGTAAGGATTTTTCAATCCTTACTAGCACGTCGTCATTTATGAATTTTCCCTTCGTAAGGAAAAATAAGCCAACAGATATATTTTTACCAATGTTTTCTAATAGTAAAATGTTTATTTTTCATATTTTTCTCACAGATGCCAAATGTGAAATGTTTTACGTGACTACTATTAGAGGTTAGATACAAATGACTTTTTCCAAAATTACCACAGCTGAAGTTTTGTGCTAAATTTGGCATAAGGTGCAATAAAGTAAAATTTTAACACAGAATTTATACCCCAAAATAAACTAATAGGTTGAGCTTCACTGATATAAGTTTTCTAGGTAATTTGGTTAATATTTTTTTTCTAATAACATTATTGTTTTAACAAATAATGAGGCCCCATTGAAAAAGCTACGTGCACAAATGCTTACAAGTTAATTATGATAATGAGCCATTGGAAAGGAGAAATTTGAATACATTTTTAGAATCAACAAGGTCCACTAAGAGGAATAGTATTGTGATAAGTTCTGGGACATCTCAGCAAAAACAGTTAATCGGCTTAAAGAACAAACTAGAGAAGGATTGTAATGGATCCACCTTGGTACTCTCATAACATTCTCTACCGGCTTGTACTCTTGAGGTGTGTGCCCCTGCTCCCCTAACAATAATTTTCAAAATTTAATTTTAAAACTTTTTAATTTTACATAACCAACTTTTATTGTACATACAAAAATTTAATTCATATTTTTGGAAAATTGTTTGGTGCACAGAATTAAAAAATGGATGCGCTGTTTTACAACTTTTTATTTTTTAACTTTATGTAAACACTGAAAAATAAAAAACACAACCAAACATACTACAGATTGCTTGGTTGTATTTTGTATTTCTGTTTTGTTGTCTTTATTTTTGGAAAACACATATAAACCTTATTTCGCGGAACTTTCTTCAATTTTTAAGAAAATTTAAAGATTGTTTTTGATTTTTTTTTTTAAAAATTTTTTCATGTAGAAATGAAAATGATGAGTGTTTCAAATTTTTATTTTTGTTTTCTTAAAACACAAAAAATTAAAAATGAAGAAATGAAAATATAACCAAACATAACACTTCCTTCAATTTTTTCCTTGAGTGCTTCATAAAGTCCAAAAAGAAAAAACTTGAATTGTGACTTACCAGTACAGATTGCATACGTCAAACGATACCCCAGTTATTTGAATACTGATTGTGTTAGCTACATTAAAATGAAAACAAGAAAATTTCATTAGACACGATGGCTATGATTGATCTCCTTTGTCAAAAGTTGCGTTTTTTTAGTTTTTTAATTTTTTTAAGCATATAAAGAGGTAAAACTTTTTACATAGTGAAATGGATAAATGTCTGCCCTCTGATATTATGGCAAATTATTTTCTATTAATTGACTTAAAAGAAACGAAGAGAGATAGTGGAATAACAAAAGCATAATATATAAAACTGGGATTTCTTTAAATTTGGTAAAAATACACATAAATCCCATTCATTTTTAAACATAACTTAAACATACCTCGCCTTAGACTAACCATGATTAAAAATTTAATTTAAATTTAATTTAAATGTGAAATTTGAAAAAATGATTTATGATACTCACCTCCAACTTCGCCGTCAACTAGCCATGGCCGCCAGTCCACTAACAGTGTTAAATTTTAACAATTTTATCCAATCTTGAGTTCCGGTATTTGTAGTTGATGTAAATATGCTATCACCACGGCAAAAAAACCAAGTATTAGACGTTCAATAAAAGTGTGTCACACTACTAATTATAAGGTCAACCTCTAAGAAGTAACATTAATGTGAAGAAGAAAAATTATTAGTTAAGCATAGATGTATGAAATTAAAGCGTTCAAAATAACAACTTGTAATAAGACACTTTTGGAGACCATATGAACTGAGATCTTATTATGAACATCAAGTACAGTTTGTCCACATTCGAGTAGTGTAATCCACTTCTTGTGTGCATCTCTTCCAAACTTGACTGTCCCTGATAATTAAAATTAACCACCATCTCTGAATTAATGAAAGATTAATGAAATGTAATCAATGTATGAATTTACAAAAATAAAGCAAAAATTTTAATCAGATATATTAAATCACAAGTTAACTTGTCAAAAACCCTAGATATTAATCTTTGAAGATCACATACGCCTCTGTAACATACAAGCCTTGTGGAACTCTCCATTCATTTGCCCAACTTAGGGAGAAAGTGCAAATTGAAATTCTGCTATGTAGATGAATTTCATATTATATTCGGCACATTTCTAAGCCCACGAATGCCTCAAAAGAGGGAGAGAGGAAAGAGAAAATTACGACGACAACCACATTTTCTGAGAATTTTGGAGGTGAGAGAATGAAATTCCCGATTGCTGCTCTAAGTGATCGTCATCGGTTTCTCCATTTTGATCGGGGGATGCCCAAGTAACTTTGTTCCAATATATCATTTTGTTATATCATGAAATCAAAAATAAAAAAGAGAGAGCACGTTTGGCTCATAAACGAGTTTGGTAGATTGATAGAAAGATGACACTACAACTTTACTTAAAGTAGAGGTTAACTGTTATAATTGAAAGTGATAAATTAAAATGTGATTATGATAAAAATACAGTGGTGCAATAAAATCCGGGCGAGATTATCAATGTTTTTCAATTTTGTATTTATTGCTAATGCATATTCAATTATTGGAATCCGGGACAGCAGTATCATGATCCACGAGTTCACACATTTTTAACTAACCCCCTCCTCTCAAATAAAGAAAATAAGAGAAATGCTACAATGTGTCTAAAAAGATCAGAGATAGATTAGGCCCTTTTTTTATATAAAACTTTACATTAGTTTCATAATCAATTAGAATTGGCAGCTGTTTCACAAGTTTGGTGATCACTTCATATCCAGAAATGATTTATTAATGCAGAAGTGAGATTATTACACCATGCCATAGCTGTGGTTGCGATGAGAGATAGATCGTGAAGGTGTTTGGTGGTGGTGATTGTTTGGTAAATATCTCGTTGTCTCTTATCATGGGGGAAAGCAAAAAAAAAAAAAAAAAAAATGGTTGTTGTGACTAATATGCATCCCTTTACATTGAATTTCTAACTCAGTTACTATTATTTTGCTATAATTCACCGAAAATTAAGGTAGGTGGACTTGGAATAATGCCTAAATGAAAGGCTAAGTGGAAAGTCATTATTGGTCCAGTTTACCCAAAATAAATTATGAAAAATATGTTCAGTTAGACAATGAAACAATAATTTATTTTTTATGATGGGTCTGGTAAATCTTTGTATGTATAAGTTATTTTTTTTTATATTTTTATGTTTAGTGCAAATCTTTTTGTATGCCAAACTTGTATAAAAAAATTTTCGCCCATAATATAATTATTTTAAATTGTCCCACTATTTTATATTTTCCCAATAATTAAGGGAAGCACATAACAATGATTGTTTAAGTCTACAAGCTTTTGATAAGCAACAAATGCATGTAACTCGTGGGCGGTATGTTTTATATATAATATATATATTTTATTTATTTATTGTATATAGCATAAATAATGTCACTCATGTTGTCAAGTATTTTATCCTTATTTTTTCTTCTTTAATTTTTGTGTTGCTTGTGACCTCTATTTGTTAGCCCAACCAATACTATATTAACATTTTATTTTTAATTGTCTAATGTGTTCATGAGTTGTAAGGTAAAGATGACGTGGCAGTAATTCATTGGATGCCCTAAAATAAATTCATGTGAAAATGTGACCAATTAGAGTATCTTTATGGTTGAATAATTATTGTTAGATTTAGCAACGAAAAAGATAAAATGATATTGTTAGCACCATAAATCTGTAATTTTATTATTATTTATTTTTACTATAATTGTAGGGTACGTGGCATCCTCTTATTCATTTGGAAGTTAAAAGAAGTTATGGAGATGATGGGAGATATGAAGGACAAAATGGATGAGTGGAAGGACACATGGCAAGACAAGAATGAAGATGGAAGAAATTGGTAGTTACTAAGTAGTTATTGTGTATTTTTTCCTCTATAAATAGCATTAATAGCTACATTGTAAAGATCTAGAATTCAAATCAAAGACCATTGATTTCAATATTTCTTATTATTTTCTTATCTTAGGAGTAGTTTAACATAGATTTATACTTCGAAGTATTTTTTTCAGCACTTCTTTTCGAAACATTTTATTGTACTTCCTTTTCGAACATAGGAGTACAGATAAGTAATAATTACTTTGATTGTTCACTCAATCGTCTTTTTCCGTCCCTCATTCTTCTTTTAATTTTTCTTTTCTCTACACTTGCAATTTTGAAGTCCTCTTTGTTGAGGCAAAGAACCGTCAACCAATAATATATGGAAATTGTGGCTCTAAATAAATTTTTTTTTGAGCTGCTTTTGCAATGTTTGATTTGAGTGCAACAGATTCTCAAGAAAACATAAGCAACAAATAGTAAGTAGATTTTGATGATCAACATTATGAAAGAAACCTGCACTGCGTACTTAGATGGTTCTTATAAAACAAAAGTGAGATTCTAAGTAACATTCTTTAATTGTGACATATACTATGAACATAACCTTAAATTAGCAGCCACTTGCCAGTTTTAAACCAAAACAAAACACCAATTATGTGACTCATGCGAAAACCAAATTTGAAGAATTCGTAGATAGGCACATGTATGTGAAGATGTGTTTTGTCCTTTTGTTTTGTATAGTGGCCTTTTTTTTATTAAAGGTACTAGCATGGCCTTTCTCCTGGAGCACTCTTCAAATAATAGGCATGATGACCTTTGTCAAATGGTTTTGATTTATGCGAAATGGTTTTGAAATGGATTTCTATGAAATGAAATGGGTCTCTTTCTATTAAATGATTCTATGAATTTCCTTGTCTAACTATATAGATGGGTTTTTATGAAATGGGTTTGATGGGTTTCCAACAAAATGAAGAGGTATGAATAAGGGATGTCTATTACAAATAAATTTTCTAAGGAAGTAGTGGTTCTTGAATGATAGGTTCATGTCTATTTCAGAGTCAAGGTTTTGGTGTGAACGAAGGATGTCTATTAGAAATAAATTTTCTAAGGAAGTAGTGGTTCTTGAATGATAGATTCGTGTCTATTTCAGAGTCAAGGTTTTGGGAATTGATTCATTTAGATCACAACTTTCAGTTAAGGTTGGGACTCGCCTTTTGCATCAAAATTGAAATTTAGCAGAAGGTAGAATGTTGGAGGTTTTAGAATACTTGATTATCTTACTAATTTTATGAAAGCATAAAGAGATGTGTTTTTGGAAATAGACTTGTGCACTTGTGGTATGTGTTTTAAAAATGGTAGACTTAGCAGGAAAACATGGCAATTTTTTCGGAGTTCTTCCATCCTTTTGAGTCTTCTTATAGGTTTTGCTATTCCCTTTGTATTATGTTAGATAGTGCCTAGATTGGTTTATGAGGGTGCTTTATGGATTAAAGGGAAAACAATTTGTGCAATTGCTCACTTAACACGCCAAAAAAAAAAGAAAGAGAGGTTTTTGGTTAGGCACTCTAGTTCTCTGGATTATTAGAATTTTGAACAAGGGTTAGTGAAACTACGAATTAGTTTTTGGTCAAGCACTTATAGGGTTTTTGCCAAAATTGGTAAGAATTTTATACTATTTTTGTCGATAGGGTTAACATTAATTAATTAATGTAGTATCTAGGAACCATAATTTTTCTTTTAGGGTTTTTGCTAAACTGGTAACAATTTTATATGTAGTTTCATTCATATAAAATTTGTAAATGTCCTTAGTTGTTAGTTGCCATTTGTAGGAAGCTGCATTGGTTGCATTGTCATTGATTATTGTGATACAGGGAGGACATGATAATGTTCATATAGGTGTCAATCATAGTAAAATTGAAAATTTCTACTCTCCAAAAAACTGTTTGAATTTGGTCCTCGTGGTTGCATTGTCATTGCTTGAACTAACACGTTAGTGGTTTGAACTCCATTTTTTGCAAGGCTACCATCCTCTTAGTTTGTTTGTTTTTATTTTTATTTTTATTTTTATTTTTATATGCTTGAACTGAAAGGTTTGGTCTTACTTCAGAAAATGTTGTAAAAAGGGTTCCAAGTTCTAGAACATTGTGAAGCATCTTGCTTTATCATTTTTCGTTATCAAGAATATGGCATTGCATTATAGAAGATTTGATTAAGAACAATAGGTTGTTGGACTGACCTGAGTAACTTCTTAGTTAGCCTGTTCAGAAGGGCTTTAATGAAATGTAATAATTCTTTGGTTTAATTAATTGTTTAACTGTTGAAACTAGTCTGTGTTTTTTCCCTTTAATTGGATTGATCAATGGAATGTTAAAATTGTTCTTTCTTCCTCTTATTTGCATTTTGCTTCTTATTTTATTTTACGTGACGGTGGGATCTAGACCTTCCAATATTCATATACGTAAGCATCACCCATTGCTTCTACAGTATATAAAGGATATAGCCTTGCCTAACAGTTAGTAAAAAGGTTGAGAGTAGATGTCAAAAATGAGAAAATATGTAAATGTGTAGCACATTCAATTTGTAAGGAGAAAATGCATAACATCTTTGTCATATATTTTTGTTGGATATGTCGTTTGATATTTGAGCAACTGGTGGTTGTTATTTGCTGTAAACTCTTGATTGTGATGTGCAAATCCATGAGTCTTCTTTGTGGTAATTGAGGCTTCTTTGTAGCATTGATTTGGATTAGGTGAAGTCTTCTTTGTAGCATTGATTTGGATTAAGTGAAAGGGACTAAAGTGAGATTTTAGTGACAGTGTAATGATTAAAATGATATTTTGATAAAAATACAGGGATGTTAATGAGACCAAAAAAAATAAATAAAGAGAGAGCCACGTTTGGCTCATAAACGAGTTTGGTAGATTGATAGAAAGATGACACTACAACTTTACTTAAAGTGTAGAAGGTTAACTGTTATAATTGAAAGTGAATAAATTAAAATGTGATTATGATAAAAATACAGTGGTGCAATAAAATCCGGGCGAGATAATCAATGTTTTTCAATTTTGTATTTATTGCTAATGCATATTCAATTATTGGAATCCCGGGACAGCAGTATCATGATCCACGAGTTCACACATTTTTAACTAACTCCCTCCTCTCAAATAAAGAAAATAAGAGAAATGCTACAATGTGTCTAAAAAAGATCAGAGATAGATTAGGCCCTTTTTTAATTATAAAACTTTACATTAGTTTCATAATCAATTAGAATTGGCAGCTGTTTCACAAGTTTGGTGATCACTTCATATCCAGAAATGATTTATTAATGCAGAAGTGAGATTATTACACCATGCCATAGCTGTGGGTTGCGATGAGAGATAGATCGTGAAGGTGTTTGGTGGTGGTGATTGTTTGGTAATATCTCGTTGTCTCTTATCATGGGGGAAAGCAAAAAAAAAAAAAAAATTGGTGTTGTGACTAATATGCATCCCTTTACATTGAATTTCTAACTCAGTTACTGATTATTTTGCTATAATTCACCGAAAATTAAGGTAGGTGGACTTGGAATAATGCCTAAATGAAAGGCTAAGTGGAAAGTCATTATTGGTCCAGTTTACCCAAAATAAATTATGAAAAATTATGTTTCAGTTAGACAATGAAACAATAATTTTATTTTTTATGATGGGTCTGGTATAATCTTTTGTATGGTATAAGTTATTTTTTTATATTTTTATGTTTAGTGCAAATCTTTTTTGTATGCCAAACTTGTATAAAAAAAATTTCGCCCATAATATAATTATTTTAAAATTGTCCCACTTATTTATAATTTTCCCAATAAATTAAGGGAAGCACATAACAATGATTGTTTAAGTCTACAAGCTTTTGATAAGCCAACAAATGAAGCATGTAACTCGTGGGCGGTATGTTTTATATATATATATATATTTTTTATTTATTTATTGTATAATAGCATAAATAATGTCACTCATGTTGTCAAGTATTTTATCCTTATTTTTTTCTTCTTTAATTTTTGTGTTGCTTGTGACCTCTATTTGTTAGCCAAACCAATACTATATTAACATTTTTATTTTTAATTGTCTAATGTGTATCATGAGTTGTTGAAGGTAAAGATGACGTGGCAGTAATTCATTGGATGCCCTAAAATAAATTCATGTGAAAATGTGACCAATTAGAGTATCTTTAATGGTTGAATAATTATTGTTAGATTTAGCAACGAAAAATGATAAAATGATATTGTTAGCACCATAAATCTGTAATTTTATTATTATTTATTTTTCATATAATTGTAGGGTACGTGGCATCCTCTTATTCATTTGGAAGTTAAAAGAAGTTATGGAGATGATGGAGAATATGAAGGACAAAATGGATGAGTGGAAGGACACATGGCAAGACAAGAATGAAGATGGAAGAAATTGGTAGTTACTAAGTAGTTATTGTTGTATTTTTTCCTCTATAAATAGCCATTAATAGCTACATTGTAAAGATCTAGAATTCAAATCAAAGACCATTGATTTCAATATTTCTTATTATTTTCCTTATCTTAGGAGTAGTTTAACATAGATTTATACTTCGAAGTATTTATTTTCAGCACTTTCTTTTCGAAACATTTTATGTACTTCCTTTTCGAAACATAGGAGTACAGATAAGTAATAATTACTTTGATTGTTCACTCAATCGTCTTTTTCCGTCTCCTCATTCTTCTTTTAATTTTTCTTTTCTCTACACTTGGCAATTTTGAAGTCCTCTTTGTTAAGGCAAAAGAACCGTCAACGCAATCGCTTGATAAATGGCTTGAATTTAATCTGTAAGGATTTTTCAATCCTTATTAACACGCTCGCATTTATGATATTTTCATTCGTAGGAAAAATAAGCCAACAGATATATTTTACCAATGTTGTTCTAATAGTATAAATGTTATTTTTCATATTTTTCTCACAAGATGCCAAATTGAAATGTTTTACGTGGATCTAACTATTAGAGGTGTAGATACAAAATGACTTTTTCAAAATTTACCCACAGCTGAAGTTTGTGCTAAATTTGGCATAAGGTGCAATAAAGTAAAATTTTAACAGAATTTATACCCCCAAAATAAACTAATAGTTGAGCTTCACTGATATAATTTTATAGGTAATTTGTTAAATATTTTTTTTCTAATAACATTATTGTTTTAACAATAATGAGCCCCATTGAAAAAGCTAGTGCACAAATGCTCTACAAGTTAATTATGATAATGAGCCATTGGAAGGAAGAAAATTTGAATACAATTTAGAATCACAAAAGTCCACTAAGAGGATAGTATTGTAATAAGTTCTGGGACATCTCACAAAAACATTAATCGGCTTAAAGAAACAACTAGAGAGGATTGTAATGGATCCACCTTTGGTACATCTCATAACATTCTCTACGCTTGTACTCTTGAGGTGTGTGCCCTGCTCCCTACAATAATTTTCAAAATTTAATTTTAAAATTTTTAATTTTTTAAATAACACACTTTTTATGTAACATACAAAAATTAATTTCATATTTTTGAAAATTGTTTGTGCACAGAATTAAAAAATGATGGCTGTTTTACAACTTTTATTTTTTAACTTTTATGTAAACATGAAAAATAAAAAAACACAACCAAACATACCTAAGGATCTGCTTGGTTGTATTTTTGTATTCTGTTTTTTGTCTTTATTTTTGGAAAACACATATAAACTTATTCGGCGAACTTTCTTCAATTTTTAAGAAAATATTAAAGAATTGTTTTTGATTTTTTTTAAAAATTGTTTTCATGTAGAAATGAAAAATGATGAGTGTTTCAAACTTTTTATTATTTTGTTTCTTAAAACACAAAAAATAAAAATGAAGAAAATGAAAATATAACCAAACATACACTTTCCTTCAATTTTTCCTTGAGTGCTTCATAAAGTCAAAAAAGAAAAAATTGAATTTGTGACTTACCAGTACAGTTGCATACGTCAAACGATACCCAGTTTTTGAATACTTGATTGTGTAGCTAAATAAAATTGAAAACAAGAAATTTCATTAGACAGATGGCTTTGATTGATCTCTTTGTCAAAAGTTGGTTTAATTTTTTTAAGCATATAAAGAGGTAAAACTTTTTTACATAGTGAAATGATAAATGTCTGCCTCTTGATATTTGCAAATTATTTTCTATTAATTGACTTAAAAAGAAGAAGAGGAGATAGTGGAATAACAAAAATAATAATAATAAAACTGATTTCTCTTGAAATTTGGTAAAAATACAATAAATCCTATCATTTTAGCGTAATTAAACATACCTCCCCTAGACTAACCCATGATTAAAAATTTAATTTAATTTAATTTAATTTTAAATTGAAATTGAAAAAATGTTTTTATATACTCCCCCTCCAACTTCGCCGTCAACTAGCCATGGCCGCCAGTCACTAACAATAGTTAAATTTAACAATTTTATCCAATCTTGAGTTCCGGTATTTGGTACAGTTAAATCATGATCACCACTGCAAAAAAAATCTCGGAAATGAAATGTGTAGTGTAAATTTAAATTTAGTGTGATGTGGGTCACACCCAAAATATCTAATCCACAAATTTCATTTTCTAGACAGTTTTCAAAATACTTTTTTTTGAGTGCGTAATATTGTTAGCACAAACAATCACCTCATAAAGTTTATCAGATATAAGTCCCATCCGGTGAGAGTATGATATTTTTGAATTTTCATTAATAATTACATCTGTTCGCGGGCACCCAAGAATATAGCCCTAAAAAACCATTTCAAATTAGAATATTATATTAATACGACAATTATTGTGAAGCAGACGTCAAGTATAAATTCCATTGAAACAAAAATTAAAACATTGCATTGAATAGTGATGTACATAACAAATCTATAATGCACAAATTTATTCGACTAAACCGAGCTTATTAAAGTCACTTGAGTTCTAATATTAGGTTACTTACTTTGAGATTCAAGCGTGGCCTCTCCCCAACAGCATTTCCTATATCAAAAATATATGATTAATCAAAACATGAGCTAATGAGAGTTGAATTAGTTACTAATTGTCATTAGCATTAATAATTAATTTAGTTACCCTCTAATATATGTTGAACTACTATTGGAGCAGTTATGCCTGAATAAGAATCAGCCCCAATGAACAACTGATTTTTGAGGTATTTTGGGTGATCAATCAGCCACTGCATTGCAATTCCAAATAAATAGTAAGCACAAGCAGTTAAAAAAAATAAAGGGTAAATTTTTACTATTTAATTTGATGTTTAGAGTTAATACTGTTCAAATTGAAAAAATAATGATTAAAATAAAATTAGAATCAAATTATAAAAGAGAAAAGTATAATTTACCTAAAAACAAATATAACATAGTTGTGTTAATCCAAAGAATGGTTTATAAGGTTTGCTCATTATTTTTTTTCACTTTGCTTTGAAATTCAAGAGAAATTCCAGCTGTAAAAATAAAAAATAATTATCCCTAGAACAAAACAAGGATGAGCTTGACTTTTGTGGATTAGACTTAAGGATGAGCTTAGACTCAAGTTTAAAAACTCTTTAGAATCGGTGAGTCATGTAAATAAGTTAAATTTAAACGTATTTCAAAACTGGTTAATTTTTTAAGCTTGGTGATAAATTTATAAAAAAATCAAATTACTCGAGTTAGATCGCTTAAAACTCATTTAATATCAACTCAAAAAATAAAAGAAATTAAATTTAAACACTTCAAGCTTGCTTAGTTTTTAAGCTAAATTTCAATAATTTACTAGTCAACTCGACTGTTGGTCTACCTTAACAAGGAAGGCATATGTCTATGAAGCTGATTTCGTGTCGGAGGTAGAATATGCACTCAAATTTGTAGCGTAAGAGAAACCTGTGCCCACTGGCGCATCAAGAAATAGTATGCTTGAAGTCTGAAAAATTAATCATTTTTAACCATTGAATAAAAATAAGAAAAAACAAAAAACTAGTAAGCAAACATTTGTGTAAACCTAATTATTAAAAAAATATTTTGCAAAAGGAGAGTGAGAAACATTGTATTGAATGAAAGCACCTGAGTCCATGAGTATGGGTAATATTCCAATGTGGGCGTACCTCCCTCATACTCTGTTATGTTGAAAGCTAGTGGACCTACACATTGTCAAACAAAAATTGCAGTTGAGGCCATTCTATGACTTTTTAGGATATACTATGTTAAGTGAAGTGTCACTTTCATCTCCAATTTAAATAATTTGATTCATTCATTTCAATTTTGTTATAATGTGATCTCTTCTTACATACTGTTAGGATTTGGAACTCCCCTCCCCCCCAGCCGCCCACCCAAAAAAAAAAATCACGTGCAAAACTAGAGGGATTAAAATAGAATTCAAAATAAATTAAAAAAACGACTAATAGAAATGGCAAAATTAAAATGAGACAATACTAAATGATTAAGAAAAAAAAAAAAATACTTAAAATTTTAAATTTCAGTCTTTGGATATTAAAAACTCAAACAAATATTTCAAAACTAAAAATAACTAAAACAATTCTTAGACAAAGTAATTGCAAAAATGAACTTTTCAACAAAATAATTAAGAATATACATAAAATTACAAGGAAAAAATTATTGGGTTTCTCAGAATTTTTTTTTGTTTGTTTTAGAAAACACAAAAAATAAAGCCAAAAAAACAAAAAAATGAAAACGAAGCTACAGGGAATGCAATCAACCTCCCTCATGAACACACAGATATTTTTGAATTTTCATTAATAATTACATCTGTTCGCGGGCACCCAAGAATATAGCCCTAAAAAACCATTTCAAATTAGAATATTATATTAATACGACAATTATTGTGAAGCAGACGTCAAGTATAAATCCCATTGAAACAAAAATTAAAACATTGCATTGAATAGTGATGTACATAACAAATCTATAATGCACAAATTTATTCGACTAAACCGAGCTTATTAAAGTCACTTGAGTTCTAATATTAAGTTACTTACTTTGAGATTCAAGCGTGGCCTCTCCCCAACAGCATTTCCTATATCAAAAATATATGATTAATCAAAACATGAGCTAATGAGAGTGAATTAGTTACTAATTGTCATTAGCATTAATAATTAATTTAGTTACCCTCTACTATATGTTGAACTACTATTGGAGCAGTTATGCCTGAATTAGAATCAGCCCCAATGAACAACTGATTTTTGAGGTATTTTGGGTGATCAATTAGCCACTGCATTGCAATTCCAAATAAATAGTAAGCACAAGCAGTTAAAAAAAATAAAGGGTAAATTTTTACTATTTAATTTGATGTTTAGAGTTAATACTGTTCAAATTGAAAAAATAATGATTAAAATAAAATTAGAATTAAATTATAAAAGAGAAAAGTATAATTTACCTAAAAACAAATATAACATAGTTGTGTTAATCCAAAGAATGGTTTATAAGGTTTGCTCATTATTTTTTTTCTCTTTGCTTTGAAATTCAAGAGAAATTCCAGCTGTAAAAATAAAAAATAATTATCCCTAGAACAAAACAAGGATGAGCTTGACTTTTGTGGATTAGACTTAAGGATGAGCTTAGACTCAAGTTTAAAAACTCTTTAGAATCGGTGAGTCATGCAAATAAGTTAAATTTAAACGTATTTCAAAACTGGTTAATTTTTTAAGCTTGGTGATAAATTTATAAAAAAAATCAAATTACTCGAGTTAGATCGATTAAAACTCATTTAATATCAACTCAAAAAATAAAAGAAATTAAATTTAAACACTTCAAGCTTGCTTAGTTTTTAAGCTAAATTTCAATAATTTACTAGTCAACTCGACTGTTGGTCTACCTTAACAAGGAAGGCATATGTCTGTGCAGCTGATTTCTTGTCGGAGGTAGAATATGCACTCAAATTTGTAGCGTAAGAGAAACCTGTGCCCACTGGCGCATCAAGAAATAGTATGCTTGAAGTCTGAAAAATTAATCATTTTTAACCATTGAATAAAAATAACAAAAAACAAAAAACTAGTAAGCAAACTGAAAATCCTACGTGATTTGTGATTAGATCAAGATTAACTAATTCCAAAACCCAAAAAATTCAAAACACTCAACCTAAAATCATCAAACACTTACGAGAGTGATTTTAGTTTGTTTGTTTTTGAGAATAAACAATAAATCAACACAAACGATTTTTTACGTGGAAAAAACCACAATTGAAGAACCTTCAATTGTAATCAAAAACCACGGGCGAACCGCCACTATCAATCCACTACTGAAGAACGAAAAGATTACAAAGAAATCATACAAATTACCCAACCCTAGTCAATTTGTCTCTGAATCTTCTGTAACTCTTTTCACCACACCTTCGTCACGGAATTGATCCTGAAGTTGATTCCACACCACAACTTCACTCGTCGAATTAACGACTGCGTAGACTCAAACACCTTTTGGATCCTACGCTTTGATCTTCGGAATCCACCGAAGAGAACTCACTTGAAACTTAAGAAACAACCACCTTGATGTATGAATCTCAATGCATAAGTTCAGAACTCTCTTAAGAACATCAAGGAAAAACTATCAAAAATCTCCAAAGAAGACTTTAAACACAACCCTAGTTTGTTTTGATCAGATCTAGGAAAACGTTACCCAAACAAAACAACGTTAGCAGCTTTAAATAGGAATCTGAATCGCGATCTCCGCTCGAGCTCAACATAGCCCGCTCGAGCGGACTGAACAAAAACTGCATACGAAGAAACAGAGATGCGCTCGAGCGTAGGAGAATCCGCTCGAGCGTAAAATCACACCCACCAGTAGTTTTGCTTGTCCTGACAAAATACTGAGACCTGCTAATCTACGCTCGAGCTCAAGAGTCTCCGCTCGAGCGGACAGTACAAAAACACAAAAAAAATACTTTTGAATCAACACAAGGTTTTGTCTCCGGATTTGACAACACAGGGACCTAACAAATAAAATGAAAGTATGGGAATAGAACGTTTATGTAGGTGTAGGGATGAAGTATTTTTTAAAATATATATATATATATATATATATATAATTGGACAATTAAATGAGAGAAGTTGTAAGTGTAGAGTAATATAATGTGACGGAACAAAACGTGGATAGTTAAACAGTGGAGTGTAATTTTTTTTTTTTTTTAACGAACGTCTGGTAGTTTGTTAGACTAATTTCTTGATATATACAGTCTAAAAAATATTTATAAGGATATCAAAATTGAATATAAGGACATAAGTGTCCAAGAAAATAGTGTAAATCAAGAAAATGGACTTTATGGAATAAAACTATACATACATGGGACTAAATGGGTTAAAAAATTCCTTCATGGACTTCTTGGGTTAAAACACTTCTAAATTGGACTTATCAATAAAAATTCCTAAAAAAAAAGTCACAAAATGACAAAGTGACAAAACACTTGATTTAGAATGTAAAATTACCAAACTAACCCATATACAAACAAAAAGTCAAAAAAACATCATTTTCAAGTTAAGGGCAATTTGGTCATTCCAATGCAAAAAAGTCAAAAAAACCAAACAAGAAAACCAAACAAACAAAAAAGTTTCAGGCTAAAAAAATCAAAAAGTCAAGTTTGCCAAACGACACCTAATTACTTTATCATTATATAACTTATTTTAAAACTTATATTCATGACTTTTTAGTATTATTATTTATTGTTCATGATATATACTAGTTACAAATAATATATATATATATATATATATTATCTTTCTTGAAGTCAATCGTAAAAATTTATGTGAAATATTTTTGTAAAAATTTTTAATATTATAATTAATAAATGCCCACTCTGATTTAATTTCTTAACTTCGCCACTAATCTCGTGGCCACTTTCGCTTCATTTTTTTAACAGTGAGTGACAAAAGAGCTACACTAGAACAACAGTCAAATCCTATTGACTTAGTTACAATTAGAAGATTAGAGGCCAAAGCAAAATTTGAACGAAAATTATTAGAAGGTGAAAAGTATAATTTACCCAAAAAAAACATATATAAATAGCTCCAATAAACTGCACCAAACTAGTTTTAAGAACTAATTAATCCTATATTTATATGAAAGGATTTCCCAAGGGAGAGAGACAGAGAGAGAGAGAGAGAGAGAGGGGCACATACCCAGTTTCAAGAGTGAAAGGAAGTTCACCATCAAAGCCTGGTAAGGTCTTGACAATTTGGCCAGGAGACACTACATGTGGAAAGAAAAAGAGCACTAGGAGGAAGATGAGCAACTGCAAAGTCACCCAATTATTTTTCTCTGTAAACTTGATAACATACTTCATTGTTTGGTTATATTGCTTCTCTGCCATTATTTCCAAACAGAAATTTGCTTTGTTGGGACATATATACCATCGCAATGCAATGGTGAGTGTACTAGGGGTAGTGCTATCAACATCTTACTCAAAAGTACTATCTTTTGTTTTTCTTGTGATTTTATTATTCAAATGGCAAGAAAAGTTGGTACAACAAACAATGACAATGGAAATACAGTTGCATACCAAAATCTAGATTGGGTCTTGTCATGACATCATTCAAAAAAACTTAATTCGTTTGGTTTTAGTTTTCAAAAAAAAGTTTTTAAAAAATTTTACTTTTTTATTTTCTGTATTTTAATATTTTTAATGAATTTTTTAAATATTTTAAGCATTATTTTTAATTTTTAAACACACATAACATAAATACACTTAAAAAAGTATAATATTTGTAAATTTTTTTAAAAAAAATACACTAAATACCAAAAAATACAAAAAAAAAAAAAAACGAAAATCATTACATTTTTTGTATTTTTGTGTATTTATTAATTTTTTAAAATATTTTTTCACAAATATTTTACTATTTAGATACATCTAAGTAAGATGCATCTAAAAAAGTAAAAAAATTACTTAAAATTTAAAAAATATTCACTAAAAAAAATAAAAAATTCAATTTTTAGAAAACTGAACTCAAAAAATTGAAACCAAACACACTGAATAATATGAAGATTGGGTCAAGTGGTGATATATACGCCAATACTATCATAGGAAAATCTCAAATAAGCGGGGTAGAAGAAAAAAAATAGTTACACAAAAAAAGAAAAAAAAACTGCAATCTTAAGGGGAAAATAGCCTGAAAGGTTCAAGGATATTATTATACTTAAAATAAATATGAACCACACTTTATTTTTTCTCTGCACTTTTCTTGAAGCATTTTATTTTTGACACTACTTAAACCTAAGTTACATTACAAAATTATTAGAACATTTCCATCAAACTAGTTATTTTTATTTTTTTTAGCTAAAATGGTGAGTAAATCACCAAATTTCAGCTCCATTAAATTAGATATTAAGTTACTTGCTTAAGTTTTAGTGGTTTTGGCTTAACAAATGTAGTTAATAGTTTTAATTAGTTAAACATTAAAAATATGTTATTTTTCATATTTTGGAGTTACTTGCGTTGAGTTTATAAAAAAAATAATGTAGAGAAAGAATAGAGAATTTGTTGCAGAATGTATTGAAAAAATATATAGTCAAAATTAATTTAAAATATAATAGAAGTTAAACCAGATTGATGGAACTGCTTCCTGTCATCAAATATTTGGATATCATGAGCTTGCTCTCACATGAGTTGTCCTTTTCAAAATTATATATGTTTGTCATCAGTGTTTTCAAATGGATTCATCATCGTTTATCCTAAGAATAGTGCAGCACTTGGATTGAAAACATTTTGACTGGTTAGTAGTGTCCTTTTACTTTTATTTCGCTGTCGTTCTTTTTCATATGTTTATTGTTAATTGGTAGGTTAAAAACTAGATTAATCCAATAATTTTAACTATATGACTCATTCTATCATCTTTCTCATCTCTTTTGATACCAATAATGCTAAAGAGTGTCATCGAAGTATTGTTTAATATTAACATTAAAGTAAAAAGTATATTAAAAATAGGTAAAAATGTTAAAAATTAATTGGTGTATGGGAGAAAAAACCTGGTCATAAAATGAGTTCAAATCCACCATTCAGCCAAACATAGGAAAATTGTTCAAGTATTCAGCATGGAAATGGAGGAAGATAGGATCACCAAGCTACTTTGTGGTTGTGTAGTTGGTAATTGACATTCAAGGTTGCATACTATAAGGGTTCAACTTCCATTCAAACTGCACACCAAAGACGGGGAAAATGATTAAAAAAAGAAAAGGGCAAATTACATTTTGCACTCTTGCACTTTACATCAAATCTTACTTTGGTCCCTACACATCAAATTGTGACACTTAACCCCCTGTACTTTTGGTCAAGTGTCACTTTGGCCCTTCTGTTAGCCTCATTGTTAACAGAGGTTAGACACATGAAAAACATGTGAGTATAAATTACACTTTGCACCCCTGCACTTTACACAAAATCTCACTTTAGTCCCTACCTATCAAAATTGTGACACGTAGCTTCCTAAAGAATAACTTCTGTTGGCCTCACTATTAACAAAAGGGCTAATATGACACTTGATCAAAAGTGTAGGAGGTTAAGTGTCACAATTTGATGTGTAGGGACTAAAATGAGATTTTGTGTAAAGTGCAAGGGTGCAAAGTATAATTTATCCAAAAGAAAAAGTACAAGTACAAGTAATGACCCACCATTAATTTGGTAATTAACATTCACGTCACGTTTGTTTTTAAAGATAGGATAGAGGGAATTGTTAGTAAAGGAAATGTTATTGAGGGAATTAAGTAAATTTGTGTTTGTTTTGATAATAGTTGTTAGTGTGAGAATTGTTAATTTTTTTTTTGTATAAAATAATAAAAACAAATAGAAACCATTGGTATTGACTTACCAAAGAAAAAAGAAAAACAAACCTCACATTGTAAAAAAAAAATTGCACTTGGCCAAGGGATCGGATCGGCTGGATGTTTGCATAGACGACCAGTTATTCGTATGCTTCATAACAGATGTTTTCAAATAGGGATTTGAATCCAAAACACACCGGATGTTCAACTGCATAGGCTAGCTAATGGTCAA